AACAACTTCTGACATTGCCAGGCATATGAATAACCCACTATTATTATGGACCACTGGACTATATTGGATTATTTTGCTGAATTTACACACCTACAATATTTAAATCGCAATGGAATACCCATCTCTGACAAAAGTAAACAAAGAAAGGGTATATAAATGAAAGACCATTTTGTATCTGTATATACAAAATAGTTAGGATACATATACACTTACTTTCTGTTAATTGAATGAGAAGAAAAATTTGTGCTAAAAGTATTTCAACAGGATATCATTTCTGCATCTTGTACTATGAATACTTCAAAGACAACAATATGCAATGTCATTAATTATTGTAACTGTCCTAGTAATCTGTTTTGAAACTGTCTCATTGCTATTTGTTTCTCAATAAAATTAATAAAAAATGAAAGAATGTGAAAGGCATTATGCTGAATTAAGGGAGTCTGTCTCCTAATGTTATATAGTCTGTACATGCCTGAAGAAAGAAAACCAAGGTGATGATCAGTGGTTGGAGGTAGTGTATGAAGAAATATTGTGCAGATTTATGGAGTGGTCAAAACTATCCCTTAGTGTTGGTGGTTGCATAAATCTCTATACATATTAAAACTGAATGATTCCCTACACCCAAGAGAGGGCAATGCTATTATATAGTAATTTAAATAATAGGCTGAAATTTCATTTCTGATTATTCTTCAATAGTGTATTGGATGCAGTAAGACATTCTTAATCTGGATCACAGGGGCCACCTGATGGGAACTCTTCAACAACAGCATTTTTTCCTCCATAAAGCCTAACAGTTCAGGGTTTTTTGGGGAAGGGAGGTAGTCTGAAATGTGGTCCTGAATGTTGCAAATGGTTCATCTCCAAATAAGAGGCCATTTTTATTATTTGGAAAATGAGGAAATTGAGTTCTCACACTGTTATAGCATGTTCTACAATCTTGGTCCAATAAAGAATCAGTTGCCTAGCTATTAAATATGATTGATGTCTGCCTCCCCTGCTGCTACTGTTAGTAGCACAGAAATTAGGCCATTTCAGTGCTATCCTTAGCCAATTTTGGATTTGAACAGAACACCGCTTCTTACTTCAACACTTTCTGGAGGAGAGAGGACCTGTGTGATGTTTGTGTTGGAGGAACAGATTTTATTATGAAGTTTTTCAAGGTGTTTTAGGCTTATTGGTAGCCTTCTGGGATGTATTGCTTTATCCCACTTAACCTCCTCAGTAATTTATTTCTTTGAGATCTGTATAGCCTGCAAGAGAATTGGCTTCTAGAACAATTATAGTGGCAGGTATTTCCTCACAAGATTTTCCTGAGCTGCAGATAGGTTTTAGAATTCACTGTGGTAGCTCTCTTAATATTATGATTAATTCCAAGGGCCAATCTTATGTTGCTGGTGTCTGCCTTTGACTGTGTACCCTAACTGCGTGTAGCTTGTTTAGAGTTTGAAGGCCACTCAAATTCTCTTCCCATTTGTACCACTATATAACACCCTGCTTGCCAAAGTAAATGATGAGAGACTGGTGTTGATTATATTTATTCATTTATTAAAATACTTCAATAACCAATACTTTATTAACTTTGAGGACTGGTGTTCCATTTGTGGAGGGAGGAATAGGCACACTTTGTGAATCTCTTCATTCTATTTTTTTTCCTATTGATTCCATGACTACCCCAGGTCCTCCCCCAACCAGCCCTTGGCCCTGCTACTTCTTTGCAGGAACCTCTGGTGAAATAAAATTCACAGAACAGAAAAACAACAATGAATTACAGGTTAGCAGACAAATAAACAAATGCAATTCCACAAATTATATAGCCAATCAAAGTCCCTTATAGGATGGAATGATATATAAATGAGTTTGGATGCTTCTGTTAGTTTCTATCTCTTGTGAAACTAAAATTATTCTGTGTCCTGAGGGAAGATGATGCTGATCCAACTGTTTTTCCTAATCAACCTTTAACTTTTTAGTTAAAGGGCCTTTTTAAGATAGCTGCTGACCTCCTAGTAGTATTGGCACCAGAAAAAGTTGGTGGCTACTCAGATTTGTTCACATTTTCCTTCCACACTGTTCCTCTGGACAGAAATTACTAATCTAATCATTTCTTTAGAAAGTAATACCGAAGATGTAACCAAACTCTAGAGCTTTGGATGTTAATGGCTTCTGAACATATTTGAGAGGGTAACTAACAGTGAAGTCCTGAAAGAAGCTTATGCTTCCAGGGACTAAGGCAACTCCCTCGAGATTAAGATCACTTCTTGGTTTGTTTCTAAGTGAGAACATGTGCTCATCAAGCAGTCTTTCTTTCAGGAAGCAACTGGTAGCTAAACTATTTAGGAGGTAATGTAGTGATTTAGGAAGCCATATCTGCTCTTGGGCTTCCTCATCTATCAATTCTATTCCACATTTAGCTCTAGCCCCAAATCCTAGTGGTTTTATTCAGTATTATTCTGCTTCAGTGTCTGAGACTGGTTAGATGAAAATGAATCCAGACTGTACAACAGCGCTGCAGCAGAATTACAGTGTATATAGAATTTCAGCAAAGTAAGCACAACAGATGTAGCCCTATTATAATTGACTATTATCTGTGATTAAAAACATTATAAGACACAGCCTTGCTTAGTCATTACTAAGATAAGGCTACCTTTTCCTAGGACTTTCCTCTGTTTATTTACATTTTCTCATTTGGAAATGTTCCTTTTTTGGAAAAGGCTCTTTTGAAAACAATGTAAAGAAACTCTCAACTTTGTGAGTGTGTATGCAGGTGTCAGTTCATCCAGCCAAGGAGGAGCAAAGTTGAGCCGCAATGTGGCCTTGCTAATTTGAACTAATAGCTCTTCCTAGGAAGAAAGAGTGACACAGAAAAAGCCAAAGACAGCAACAGCACACTCTACTTTATATATATATATATATATATATATATATTAAGTTAACATTCTGATATTTAAATAAGCTTAAAATGTTTTCTGTCATATTTTTCATTAACTTTCCTCTTCAGTTGTAGAGCTAGGACTTTTTGTTGGTTTGGTACAGCACATAGACATCTGGGGACTAGTCCCTTGTTAGTAGTTTTCCCCTCACCCCTGCAGAGGTGGAACACAGGTGGCTGGTGTTCGTGGATTAAGCTGGTGGAATTCTAGAGTTGAGAACCAGTGCTTGAAGTCTAGATTGTGCACCTCAATGAACCAGTCATTGGACTAAATCAAGTAACTGAGCACACTGTTTTTCTAAGAAACAAGGAGAGGCCAGTTTTCTGGCTTTCTTTTCATAAATAGGAAGAGACATCCAAAGGTATAAATTGAGGGTTGGATAGAGATGAGAGGAAAAGTGAAGAAAACCTCTCTGGGCACTGGGATTTGGTTAGATTTGACTGACTGGGATTAAACATTTAAAAGACTTGAATAAGGACTTGGGACAATGTAGACTTAGATTTTCATTAGAAATTTAAAAGAAGAACCATGGGGAAATAAACCTTTGCCTTCACTTCCCCAGGCCTATGTTCTTTATGATAACTCTTATATTCAAGGAAAGGGGGCAAGATGAGAGATTTGAAAGTGATTTGGGATGGACCCAACAGCTTATCCAGAAAATGCAGGCCAAGATAAAGTTTGCAGAGGAAGGTCTAGTTGTAACTCAGTTGTTAGGCACCCTCAAGCTCTGGTATTTATGTCACAGAGTTGAAGGTCTGGTTGCTCTATGTAGTCTTTTCACTGGGGAAGGAGCAACACAGTTTGAGGCAGTTGCTGATGTAAAGGTTAGGACAAATAGAGCAAAAAGTCAGCATGCCAAGTTAGTTCCTTCTCTGGGGCATTGATATTTTTGTTCTCTCTGTGGCCTGGCTCAAAATTTTAAATAGACATCACAATCAGCTGGCTGTAGGTAGATCCCAGTTACTTATAAGACGCTAAAAATGCACCAAAAGATTATAAGCTCCACCAAGAATTAGGGCAGTTAGTAGAGGCATATGTGTGTATAGGATATTAGGGAGTAGGGAAAGATTCCTGGGTTAGCACAATAAATTAGAGGGTCACTTAGAGGTCGAGTTGTATTTTCAGTTCTTAAAATATATATCTATATACATATTTATGTCATTATACACAATCTACACTGCAGCACAGCGGCAAGACATTTAGTTAAAAAATCCAGCAAGAATGCAAGAAAACACTCCTTGGAGTCAAGCAGACTAGAATCAAGGCAGTTAGAAGGGGAGCCTGTATGGATTCCACAAAGGGTGAGTTCCATCAATGGCCCCACCCAGCCATCAGAGCACCACCTGGACATGTTTAAAGAAGACATACATGAACA